GAGAGAGAGAGAGAGAGAGCAGCAGTAGCAGCAGCAGCAGCAGTAGCAGCAGCAAGGAGACGCTACGTTGTCAGTGCGAGAGGACACGGAGCGCGACAAAGGTGTGGACACAGATTTGTTTGTTACGTTTCTGGTGGACATTAAAAAAAAAAGGAGCATTCAAATTTTCCAAAGCCACAGGTGGCCACAGGAGAGGGATTAAAAGAGCCACATGCGGCCCCGGAGCCACAGGTTGCTGACCCCTGTTCTAATTAATGTCCTGTACCTAAAAGAAAACACTTTTGTAAACAAAGAAACTGCTCACAGAGTCTCCAGCAAGTGGCGTCCAAACGGATGTCTGGCCCACGGAGTGTCTTTGTCCGGGTCTGAATCCGGACTCAGGTCCTGACTAGATGCTGCAGATGCCAACGCCCATACCTATGTTCCACAAAACAGAAGTCAACCGTGTGACTGTGTACTGAAGACATTTACAACATTTAAGTGTTTTATTGATGACACCGTACTGACTTCTACATACAGGATCACATCATTACGTTTTGTGAGTCATTATGAGACTTTGAGAGCCACACAGGCTGCTAGAGGAGGCGCCATTAGGTATGCAGTTCTTTTGGGGGGATCGAACGCAGAACCTTCTGCATGTAAGGCAGATGTGTAGGACAGTACAAAAAAAAAGGGGGGGGGGAGGGTGCGTAAATGTTCTTATGAACAAAAGTGGGCCCAGCAGCGAAAGTTTGGGAACCACTGCAAAAAGTACCGTATAAGAACGGACCATTTACCATGTGCCTCAACTCAATGCAGGGGAAAATAAATTTGCCACATGGTTCTCTTTGCTCTCTCACATACTTGCTAGTATACAGACAAGAAGAATAAGGGACCCAAAGTGCAATTGGTTTTTTTTGTGTTTATCAGAAGGAAAAAGCAGAAATTCAGTTCTTACCTTTGCCAAATCTATGCGTCCAACGGCTAGTGCTGCAGCGGCGTTCTTCTGACACATCTCTTGAATATCATTTACATTTAGACTAGAAAGAAAAGACACTCAGTTCAATGTAAATGACTGAATCGTACATTTTGTGACATATTTTAGGGTTTCCTCTGCTGTGCCAAACCAGTGGCACAGCTGAACATTGCTGCTTTATTATATCAGTCGCATTTGTACAAAGGTACAGTACTAAATAGTCTTTAGTCAAATTGGATCTTTAACGATGAATGTTAAAATTTTTTTTTTTTTTACAAAAACCCTGTTTGCCCCTTAAATTTACCTACCCACGCCACCCAAAAAAAAAAAAAAAAAAAAAAATTCTGTTTTTGTAGATGCACAAAAACAGAATCATGTTGTTTTTGTTCTTACACATAGCTCTCTCCCAGAGTTTTGTGAACGGGCAGTAAACACGAGATCTCTTGGATGATCACTTTGCCGGCCAGTTTGATTGGACGGTTGCTGTACTCCATCCCCTCTCTCTTCGTCTTAAATCTACGGGATTTCTGATAAAGGGAGAAGGTGACAAGACACAGGAGTAGGAGGGAGTAAGTAGGTCATAAGAAGAAAAAAAAAGCACCACTCAATTAAAAGTGGTATAGGAAGCAAATTAGTGACAGGACATTTTATTGATATGACAAAAAAAAAAAAAAAAAAAAAAAATTTAAAGGGAAAGTTTGTTGCTGAGAGACAGAAGCTATGACTTTTTTTTAGGTCCAATGCACTAAACATTATTAATCAAAGCCAACACATAAAAAGCAGGTCTTGAGTGTTTTCTACAAAAAAAGCATTAGTGTACATGGCTAGCACTTCATCTCTACTGATACTTGAACAAAAGTCTGTGCTTTTTTGGCTGTTGTTTTTATAGCTGCTTATACAGTGATTCGTCTGTTGCAATAGAGAGAGTGTTCTGTGCACAGCACGAGTGTGGATAAGATTAAATGACAATATTTATGTCCAAAAGTAAGATTTTTTTTTTGTCTTGCAAATTTCCATTAGGCCTCTATACCAGAGCTTTCCAACTTTTGTTTTTGAGCCACAGCACATTGATATTACATTAAAAAAAAAAAAAATCCACAGAGCACCACAAAACAAATATGCCGCAAAATGCACACGCAATACGATAAATTAAAACTATGATCTTGTAGTTTCAATTTACACTCACTTACTTACGCTTGCTTTTTCGGTGTGAACCCGGGGGCCTGTTTAGTTGAACACAACACTGATATACGAGAAAGGAAAGACAAACTAGGTTCTTCTTTAACAGCTTAGAGTCTTCAGTTCGTTTTTATAGCCACTGGTAAAAGAGTATGTATTGTTTATAGTTATAAGGAGGAAAAAAGAATTGTAAAATATGATAATTTTCCACAGTAAAACTGATGTACACTAATGTACTCGTGCATCTAAAGAATTGAAACAATCTGAAACAGCCCGTCACATTTTTTTTTGTTGGCTCAACCTTACTAACATTTAGCTGTTTAGGATTCAAGTCAGATATATTATGTCTAACTATATTTAGCTGTTTAGGATTCAAGTCAGATGCCTGCCCTGCGTCAGACCAGCATCGCCATATATTATGTCCAACTACTATACCTATACCGACCCATTGCGAGGACGCTGGGTTGGTACAAAATGTGAAGGACAACGGGAGGGTCAAGTACATTTTGACTCAAGTATTTTCTTTGCTAAATTGGGAAAAATTGAGAAAAAAAAATTTAAATGCGATGTAAAACAACATTCGTTAACTGAAAGTAAATTGTGTGGGATTGTGCCGCGGATTTCCCCACTATTTTAATGTAACCAGAGAATGTTGACTAAGAGACCGACTCTAGCCTGATGATGGCTGGTGGCAAACAAAAAAAAAAAAATGGAAGTTGAGGATTGCCAAGCACAGAGCAGATAACTCGGAAAGAAAAGGAAATCCCGGGCCATGTCTCATCCAGCTCTTTGTTTTCAAATGTTAATGAGGCAATAACTTTTTATCATGCAATGCAAAACGTGCCTGCCCCTGTCAAATCTTAAGTGTGTGCTTTAGTGGCTTGAATTTACAGTATATGTTCAAATGGATCATAGAGTTCTCAACTTATGCCACTTTGTAGTTTTGAATTGTTGATTGAATTTACATTGTTGCAGATTTGGGGGAAAAAAAAACAAAAAAAAAACGGCTGTATATGACAGTGAAAGTCAGCTGGTACCAGCAGCTCATACAGTGATTTATACAAAATATACGTTTAGCTTATTTATAATATAGCCATATATTTTTAAAAAAATAACATACTTCATATGTTTACTATATACATTTTGTAAGATTTTTATTTAACTTGTATTAAATCTAGAGATCCTGGAGAATACTTTTTTTTTTAATTTAGGTCAACAGCTTCTAATTTTAGTAGTTAGGTTCAAGCTTGAGTTAGTCACAGGGCCGTTAGGTAATCAGAAAGATGCTCATGACATCCCAACTCTGTTATGAATAGAATAGCATGAAAAAGAGAGAAGAAAGAAAGAGAGAGAGAAGTGATGAAGGGATAGAGGCTCAGTACCAGCCAGTCGTGAAGGGATTGGACAGACCAGCGGCGGGTGGCAGAGATTGGGAGCTTCTTATTGAAGGAGAGTGAGAAGGAGATGCCCACGGCCACATGGGGAACAGATAAGTGGTTGTAGGGGGGAAAAAATGAGTAAAAATGAAAGAAAAAAATATCAGGAAGACAAGAGAAGGAATGTTCACACAGAAACACCAAGTTTCACAACCAAACATCATCACTTCACATTTCCAACCCCTAATAAATGGATGAGTAATTCGTTGTGCTGCCCAGTGTTCGTGCACTCTTCTAAAAAGCTACTGTAAACTCTCTCTTTTGTTTATTCAATTCAGTATAGATGTATCTCATCTAATTTAATTCGATTAGTTAATTAGTAAAAAACAAATGTGGGCCTTGTTTATTTACTTTAAACATTCGATTAGTTAATTAGTAAAAAACAAACGTGGGCCTTGTTTGTTTACTTTAAACACGCGTTCCGTCACAGAAATGACTTAAAATGCTCAACGTAAGTGACCTTATTTGTTATAATAGTTAAGTGCTTATTAAAACTACTAAAAGTACGCACACATTAATAACACAAAGATTCAATTAGTCGACTGTTTAGCTACCTTAGCTGTGTTTATGGCTAACTGGAGTACCTTGCAGTCCCTTCTTTGAGATAATGGATCTCTCATTAATTAAAATCAAGATTTCTAAAATAACCAAGTTTTACTTCTAAAAAAAAAGCATTACATTTAGAACCATCAGTAACATTCCAATAGGAAGCGGAAATAAAACAGTTGTGACTAGAGTCGATACGTAAACCTTTTTGTAAACATTTTTGTTTTGCTAAAAAAAAAAAAAAATTTGCATATTTCATTTTAGATTTTCAACCATGCAACTGTGAGGGGACAATTCTCCTGGACGTCTAGCACAGAACTTGTCAACACAAATGTGCAAATTTAAACAACAACCTCCAACACCAGATTGATTGCAGCCAACGTGGCATTTGTTACTTTTGGGTAAGTCTATCAGTTATAGCATAACAAAGGAATTTCAGGAGGTAAGGGAGTGTAGTGTTCAGAGAAGAGAGGTCGCAACAAGTGAGTATTTTCAGGAGGTCAGTGCAACGGAAAATGGCAGGTGGCTCTTCTATAGAAAGGAATCTTAAAATAATGATTTGTGAATAACGTCCGGCCTTGTAGCCAGATGTCAGGTTTACAATATTTGTTGTTAAACGTTATCGCTGCATAGTCACTAAAAACAAGAAGTTTAAGTAAAGAAGGATTGGAAGATTATATAGTGTGCAGATAATCCATAAGTGGTAAGTGTAGCGAAGTGATATCATGTTGATTTAATGGTGTGCAGATAATCCATAAGTGGTAAGTGTAACGAAGTGATATCATGTTGATTTGATGGTGTTACTCTAGATCACAGAAGACAACGATGGTTAGTGGAAAAAAAATAAATAGTAAAGGATAGGAGAAGATTCAAAGGACGTAGGGAGCAAGTAAAAGTGAGATAGTGAAGTACTGTAAGGCTAGACAGAAGGTTTATGATGACCGACAGAATATGAGACATTGGGACTCTAAAAAAAAAAAAATGGTGAAAATATTGTCAATATTGTTGGCTAAACACAAGAGATTGACAAGGGAGTATTAAAACAAATGAGGACAGATTTCATTTTGAAGGTCAGAAGATACAACAGTTCCTAGCTTGTTATTAAACTGACCAGACATGACACTAGGGGGGGTGTAAAGGGCTTCCAATGCTGTAATGCTTGAATTATGTTTGCACAAAAACAGAACATTCAGTTTTCCTCAAGAACGGCTCTGTTTTCCTGAGCCCTAATTAACCGTTTTGTTTAAATTTAAGCAACTTATTCGATATTTTTTTAACCATTAACTTTTGTATTATTAAGCAGTAAGTTTCATTTTTTTGGTGGTAAGAAAAAAAAATTAGGGAAGTGCTTTGGAGGCCTAACCCTGCATTTTTCTCTTGGACTTGCAAAAGCAAACTATTTACTTTTCAAATAGTGGGCAGCCCCCCCATCAGTGATCAACTGTCAGTTCCTTCTAGTTTGCTGTGGTGAAGCAGTGGAATCTGTGGACCATGGTGTCCACTGATGACATCATACTATATCATCAGTGTTGGAAGAGAATGTGAAAAGGTAATGAATGATTAGAGCAGTGGAATGAAGATTAGTAGCAGAATGAAAAGTTATTTAGAAGGAAGACAGAATACAGTACATGTGTTAGTCAGAGTGATGTAGGTGGAAAGATGAGGCTGTGATGAGCAGGGGGTAAAGAAGATAGATAAGATTAATTACCAAGATGGTAAGAGGTGGAAAAGAGGGTGCATGGATGGATGGCGACAAGTGTCAGGATGATGTGTGTGTGAAAGGATTGGTCAGACATGTTATGAGAAATGGTTTGGAGGCAGTAGTCCAAACACTATGTGAAGCAAAAGACGGTGGCATTTTATTGGGAGTTTCCTGGTTGGAGAAAATTATTAAAAAGAGTTGTTTTAACTACATCCCTAACTTTCCTGTTGCCCGGCAGCTCCATTTTCCTCATCCTTTGTCCAGATCTCTCCACTACCTCTTCTCAGCACATGTTCAAAACCTTCTCACCTTCCCTCTTAAACTCAAAACTGCTAAAACCTTTACTGTCCCTTTGATATGTTCATTTCTAACCTTGCTGATCCTAGTTCTTTTTCAGTGAAAATGTATTGGACCGTTTCTGAACTTTTGCATCTGCAGTTTCAAAGCAAAAAAATCCTATCTTTAGTACTTTTTATGGTCATTAACACCAAACTGCTGATCATTGATCTGAACCTATTGTTTTTGCTTCTCTCCCAAAAAATATTTTCTACATCATCATTGTATGGCTAATACATTTTATGCCACTGTTGTTACCAAGACATGACAACTTATTTTAGTAACGATTATTTGAATGAGGGCTTTGAAAATATAAACAGGATGCAATAAAGCATCTTTAGGGACATGGGGGACACAAACACAGATGTAACATGAAAGTAAAGTGGGGAAAAAGTAGCCAGACCAGGGGTCACCAACCTTTTTGAAACTGAGAGCTGAGAGTAATATGAAGAACGACTTGTTTAATATAGACTTCACGATGCAATAGTATTTAAAATGAACTAACTCCGCTCGGTCAAGTTCTGGGACAGTCGATAACTAACACTCTTCTTACCCTAGTCATTGCCCCCATTTAAAAAAAACCCATTGCAAGTGTAATTAATTCAAACTATTTTTGACCCCTCTTGTTGACAAGTTTTATTTTTATGTGCTTAACAAGTGTCCTTGTTGTTTTATGTGCTTAAATTATGTTTGTTTGTCAGATCATTTCGTTAACTACTTCAAACAAGCCCAAGTGCACAAAATAAAATGGACCAAATTGACCAGAACCAATACACAAAGCATGTGTCAAAGGAGGGGTGTATATATCGATCTTAACTGGATTTGAACTTGTGTAATCATACATCTCAACCAATGAGACCACAATACATGTTTAGGATCGTCATAGCCATAAATGAAAGGAACAATGTAAATGGTACATTTATTTGACAAAAAAAAACCAAAAAAAAAAAAAAAAAAAAACCTTCCTGCAGGCCATGCTTCCAAATTTCCTCTCGATTCTAAAAGTACTATGACTATGTTTTGGGTTTTTTTTTTTTTTTGCTTAAAGCAACAGGTTAGTGTGTTTGTATCCTGTTTTTATTACAATTATATGATATATAATATGCATCTAGGCTGTATAATCTAAACAAAAAACATTAAGTATAAAATATCTAAGTATGTAGGGTAATTTAGCTCATGTAAAAGAAACCTGGACGACAGATAATCTTCGCAAATCACAAAACAACCTTTGAAAAATTTGAATTCCTCTCGAGTCTGAGGCTACTTTCACACCGTTTTGTTTTAATGTTAAAACCCCAAAACTGACATGCGGTGTCCATGTTACTGAGAACATCAGATGTTGAGATGCCTAACAATATTCAAACAAACTTAAACTAATGTCACGTGGACAATAAATAACTGTACGTGCAAAAGTGCTCGTGTGTTCGTGTGTGTTTATATCTCACCCGCTCTTTATAATAAAAAGACGAAATCGAGACAGTGTCTTTGTCAGATCGCGTTGGACTTCCACTGTACAGCCGCAGAGTACTCTGAGACTCTGATCGCATCTTCATTGGCGTCAAAACGCCACTGTGATAGGCGGACAGTGCTGACAGAGACCTACAAAACACATTTAACACAGTGGTTTGTACACAAAGCACTGACATTTCTCCTTAAGAGGACGTTTCTATTTATAAAAAGAGAGAGAGAGAGAGCAGTTAATATCTGATTTACGGGTTTTATCTTAACCTTGGGGTTGGCTCTGTGGGTGGAGCGGATCGGTGCATAGTGATTGGCCGTGTAAAGTAAACAAGACAACCAGTCCCACAAAAACGAGCGCCCGAGGTCCGTGGGAATGGGATGTTGGCGTCCTAAAAAAAACCCCAAAAAAACACCACTTTAAAGGGGCATAGCATTGTGTCTAGTGTTGAAAAGAATTGATTTCCATTACTGATATGCTGTTCTCTTAATAGCGATTCAACGTATTTTCAATATGATACTAGTTTCAACTGTGCTTACCTGGTAAGAGCCATACATGTTTGTTACTCGTGGAAATGCTGGTAGCGCAGGTGTGACTGGGTTAGAGAGGACAAATGGACCAGTGGCCGGACCATCTTCCTGAGTCTGAGTGAGGGGACATGGGGGACACAAACACAGATGTAACATGAAAGTAAAGTGGGGAAAAAGTAGCCAGACCAGGGGTCACCAAGCTTTTTGAAAGTGAGAGCTACTTCAAAGGTACTTTGTAGTAATATGAAGAACGACTTGTTTAATATAGACTTCACGATGCAATAGTATTTAAAATGAACTAACTCCGCTCGGTCAAGTTCTGGGACAGTCGATAACTAACGCTCTTCTTACCATCGTCATTGCCCCCATTTAAAAAAAAACCATTGCAAGTGTAACTAATTCAAACTATTTTTGACCCTCTTGGTGACAAGTTTTATTTTTAGAACATACCCCACAGACACCTTAATTAGTCCATGGGGGTTACCAAGTGCCCCGGGGCACTAGCTTGGTGAATGTAAATGGTACATTTAGTTGACAAAAAAAAACAAGTTAAAACCAAAGTCTATAGTAACAACAACAATGAATTTTCTTGTTATCTCATCGTCCTTTGAGTGAGAAGTATTACTTCACCATAAACCAGTACTTCTCATGAAGACTGCTGCCCCCCCCCCGTGACCCGGTAACAGAAAAGCGGACAAGGATGGATGGATGTACAGCAGTGTGCCACTGCTATAAAGCTTGAATGATAAACAAGCCTCCAGTCACAAGGTGGTAGCAACTCATATAGTGCTATGTATTGATAGGAAAATACATATTATAAGGTTCTCAATAGTATTTAAATTAGTGGGGATGTGAAAACATTTCTGTTCCATGGGGGGGGGGGGGGGGGGGGGGGGGGGGGGGGGGTGATGACAGAAAATAACTGAGAATCCCTGCCATAAACCTATGATGCCAGTAAATCATCAAATAAAGCAGCTTTTTGTTAATGCCCATTCAGCTACAAAATTGCCATCATTACTCATCCTTTAAAGTATTATTAGGTATTATTATTATTATTGTTATAATTATTATTATTATATACATTTCTCTCCTGACAATTAACTTTGGCTAAATGAAACAAATGAACAATGCTGTCTGATTGTCTGTGTGTGTGATTGTGTGTCTGAGGGTTGTTTCATATGCACATACGTATATTATACAGTTTATGCAAATGCGTACATACGCTGCCTTACCATATCTGACTCCAAACAGGACACTAGCTGACGGACACACGGCTCAAGACAGTTCTGATTTCGCTTGACTTTTTGAAGGGAAGTGTCAGTCAGAATCTTAAGAGAGAGGAAAAAAAAAAAAAAACATAATTCTAAAATCAGAAACATACACCGTCAACAAAACTCAGGTCATCCGTCTTCGCCGACGTGTGTGTGAGAGATGGCGTATAACTGTGCCTCGAACGTGTCTGACACTAAAAGACTTTTCACAGTGTGCTCTTATGCCGGTAATTATCCATTACCTTTTGAATTTTTGTCTTCATCGTAGAGGGAATGGTGGTTGGAGGAACGAACTGGAAGGTTGGTGGAGTATTGTTGGGATACTGGGCAGGAAACTTCATCACCAGATGAACCTGATGGCTGCCAAAGTGGGCTGACACCACACAGCTGCAGTTGACTGCGTCCATCTGGACACAAAATGAGATGGTCCGTTGCATGCTGGTTTAACGAAGAACCTTGTTGAAAGGCTAAAGGTGTCGACTCAAGAAAACAACAGGTGTAACTATGTAACAATGTACACTGCACACATTTGAATATCATTGCAAGTGTAACTGATTCAAAAACCACCAGTAACAATACAATTGTTACTGTTACCCTGTGGGCACCTTAGGTAGTCCATTGGGGCTACCGGATGCCCCCGTTGGTGACCCCTGCTCTACACTTTTATAATACAGTCTTGAGAACCATCACCGACAAAATCTTTTTTTCATAAAGTGGTGCATGGGATAGCATACAGTGGTCCCTCTAATAGGTAACAGGTAAAAGTCTCTATTCAGTCATTCTTATGGTTACAGTAATGTAATGAAAATCAAATTTAGATTATGTAGTAAATATTTTTTAATTTCTGTGACAGCAGTTCATCCATTTCTCGCCTCAGACAATTGTTCAGTACCTTATACATCCTTACGGGAATTCCAGTCTTACCTCCACATTAACATTCCTGATCTGCAGGTTTACCAGTGAGAACTCTTGCTGCAGGGTCTGAGGGAGACCTGAACCACCTACAAGTTCATGACGAGTTGGAGAGGTGCTAAGGTCTGTGATGAGGGACATTAAAGAGGTATCAGTTAAAAGACGAAAGGAGAGAAACAAAAATCTGGGAAAAAGGCTATAGACCCCACTCAGTAGAAGAGATTTTAACAAGAAGACCGTGAACCTTATATCTCCGGCAGTGTCTGGTATCAAGGGTGAACCCACTTGCTACAGCTGTACTGAAATGGGGGGGGTGTGAGGAGCTTCCAATGGAATATGACACACTGGACATACGTGTACTATTGCTGTAATGCTTGGACGATAACAAGCCTCCAGTCACTAGGTGGCAGCAACTCATACAGTGGTTTGTACAGATAGAAATATACATATCAGGGTGTCAATAGTATTTCAATTCTCATGGTGTGGGTCAGGGGTCAAGGGAGGAGGATGTGAAAACATTTCTGTCCCGATGAGGGGACAAAATAAATGTCGTATAAACATGTTCTTATCTCACCCCGGAGGTTTCCCGTGGTGGGGACTATGCTGTTTTGACTCAGTGGCTCCTGGGAAGACAAAGAATTGCTGAGGTCCAAATTCAGAGACATGTCCGCCATGAGGTCCTCCATGACATCATTCAAGCACAGCTGCACAACAATAATCAATTAGGATAATGTATATTGTATTGCAACAGAAAGGTTGTGTATTCGTTCATCACACTGACCCTCTGTAACTGAGGATCCACCCTCCAAATTCTCAGAGTCTGATCTCTGGACCATGTGACCAACTGATAATCCTTAGAGTCTGCAAGAGTAATGACATCATTGGAACACTGGGTTTGGATTTAGATTGTAAATCGTCGGCTTGTATCTTGTATCAGAATTAACACAGGGGTTACAAAGGTTTAACCGTCTGTGAAATTTGTATTTTTATAATGAAAAATCTATACTTTTATGTAAGAGCATGTGTGCGCATGTGTCCTTCTCTATGCCATACAGGACATTCCCCAGTTGTACAGCAAAACTGTGGGCCTAAAGACTTAAAAAAGGAAAACAGGGAGAAGATAGAGAAAGAAGAAAGAGACAAGAGGAAAAAAGAGCAGTAGAAACAAAGACAATGTGACAAAAAAACGATGGTGAACAACAGAGAAAAGGATAGGAGGTGGAGAGAGATGCCTGTAACTTAACTGCGCTGGATAAAAAAAACGATCTAGACTACTAAGAACCTACATAGAAAAATGAGAGACCACACTTAGGTCTCCATTTTGACATCAATGCTCTTATATCTCCGTTACCATATCAATTATATTTTATTTTACATTTTGTGTAAGATATACTTTCAGTATAAATCTCATTTAAAGCAGAATTTAACATGAGTAAAACGCTTAGTACAAAAAAAAGTAAATCAATAATAATAGACAATCTAGCTTAAAGTGAACCACACATCATAAACTGAAGATATTCAATCCAATGGTAGGACACTGCCTACCGTACAGTGGAAGCCAGAAGAAACTAAATTGGGTTTTTCCATCAAATAAAGTTTAAATATTGACACAATCACCTTGTTTCTGCGGCCTCCAGCGGAATTCCAAAACCACATCATCATGTCCAACGAACGCGTGTACAGGACTGTTGAGGTCAGACATGCTCCACAACAACAAACTGTTTTCTCTTCTCAGCTGAGGCACCATCACTGTGACCAAACCATCAGAAAATGGCTTTGAATAAGAAACACACAAAATGTATTTAAAATCTGCCAAAGAATAATAAATACATTGAACTAAATAAAACTCTCATATTAAACCAAGTCATACCATATAGGCTTGTGGTCAATCACCTACCGTGTACCTCGCCTTCCAAACTGGCACTTGACAGGATAGAACATTCAGGTACTTTCTTGGCTGTCTGTAGTCCCAAAACTATATATACATATAAAACATACGGTTAGTTCTTAAAATATATCAGATGTATGTAAATATGATAAATATGGTAACTTTTGACTTATTGAAATCACAATGTCCATCTCTCACCCTCACTGAGTTGTCCTGACTTGATGTGGCAAAGATGAATTCATTATCTGGATGCCAGTCAAGGCCATGGATTTTGGACAGGTGAGCAGCAACATACTCTACTGCCGTGTTTGGTTTCTGTAAAAAAAAAAAAAAAATGCAGATTACAGAGCGATGAAGAATGGGAAAAAACAACACGAAAGAAACAGGTGTTTTTTTGGTTTAAATGAGCAGCTTTAAATATGTATGACTTATAATTATAATTATTATAATTATATCCAATACTCAGGATCCACAATAGTGTGACAAAATTGTATAATTGAATATCACACAGCTGGGATCTCTTCTGCCACCATCATCTAATTTCAGTGATCAGGTATTAAAAAAAAAAAAAAACAGTATGCATTTGTCTTTCAGTTTGTTTTAAATAAGGTATTTTAGAACAGTGCAAAAAGCATTTTCAAAAATGCAAAAATGGCACCTCTTGGTGGCCATGCAAGTAACAAAATCTGACGCTTTTGATTTGTTTTCCTTAAGACACCTTTAGCATAGTTTCTTAATAAAAAAACCTTATACAAAAGTATACTTAGAGTGCAAAATGTTGTCTTGGTTTTTTTTATTAGCTCTCAATTAAAAAAATACTAAAAAATAAATAATAAACATTTTTCATTTTCTGTTTCAGTTTTAAATACTATTTAAAAACAAGGTGAGATTTAATAAAACAGAACATTTTTCATTTTCTGTTTCAGTTTTTCAGTTTTAAATACCTAATTTAAAACAAGGTGAGATTTAATAAAACACCAGCAGTCAAGCACAACTTGAATGAAGTCAGCTTTTTTTCTCCTTTAGAGGCAGAACATTTGAATAGTTCAAACACGGTTCTTTATTTGATATTAACCAAAGAGCATCCGTAAAAAAGTTAAATGCATAACTATTAACTTAACAGATTAGAAAAGAAAATATTGTTATTATTGGTTTATACTCCGCGTTAAATATATTGGTATATATATATATAGATAATTAATTAAAAGGTATCAAATTATCCCCAAGTATGGAGCGCATCACTTACTCTTTTATCCCAAATCCGTACATCTCCATCATGACTGGATGCAAGTACATGCGAGTTCCTCTTGTTCCACTTCACTTGGGATGCACCAGCTACATAAATAAGCAAAGAAAAACGACAATCAACAACAACAAAAAAAAAAGGTGAGAACACAAAAAAAAAAAGAGTCAGGCAGTTTTGTTCAATACAGATTGTATTCTGTTAGCAAAGACGTCTTTTGTCTCACTAAACGGTCTTCCTGGCAATGTGCTTACCTGGCTCTGCAATTTTTATTTCTAATGTCCAGTACTGTCTACATGTCAGTTTTTAATATAACATTAATCTGCATTCACAGGCTGTAGAAAAGTAGAACCTTCCCCCAATCAATACCCTTTGACTAAGGACTATGTCTCTACTGGCAGACCTTCACATGGTCGGACATAGTATGTTGGTCGGTTGGTTGGCAACAGCCTTTTTAAGGATTTTACTGAGGAAAGAAAGGATAGAGGCCAGTAGTTATTGAAATGAGAATGGGTTTAAACTGGGCTTCTTGAGGATTGGAGTGATGGAAGAAGTCTTGAAGTTGATAAAAAAAAAAAAAAAAGTGGGAGGGGCTGCCCTCAACCATTGTAGTGGACATGGGGTCCATTGAGCAAGGCTGTGCTAACCAGCTTGGTGATAGGGGTGGCATTGGGCTTTTGTATATAGGATATACAGTATATATTATAAGCATTGCGGTGGACAGTGAGGCCAGTTCTCTTTGAGAGTCTCTCCAGCTGATGACCTGCTACCTTCAAGGTACAGAGTTCATTGGTGATCCATGGCGCAGGGATTTGGGAGGGGCGAGGAAGAAGAAGAAAAACAGAGCACACAAGAACAAATGCTGATCCAGGCCTCACTCAATCTCATTTTAAAACAAATTTACATAGATTTGATCCCCAAAAGTGCTTTGCTACTGTGAAGCACTTTGGTTGCTTTGGGATGTTGTAAGGGGCCATTTAAACAAAAGTGCAATGTTAGGGTTTGTGTAGAATTTCCAAATTTAACTTGTGTCTAGGTATAGAAACTGTTTTTTTTTTTTCAACCCATCCAATTGTTGGAAGGAGAGCTATTGCAATAAAAATGTTGAAATAAAAAAGGAAAAAAAAAAAACATTGCAATTGACAAAATACATGGAAAACAGGGTTATTTTGTGAGAAAATCCTGTATTTGTATTTATTTCATTGTATTGTGAGGGAGAGGTAATGTCACCCTGACAATGGATTTAAATTAATCTGAGTACTCACCAACAGCAGAAAGAGCCCCTGTGGGTTTACGAGTATCACTGTGGAGACAAACAAAGTCCAACACTGTTAGCAATAGACACTATACGTTGGTATATTAATGTTAATTGGGAGTCATCACCATGTCACCTAACAAAGAGTGTCTCTGACCTGGTGTCCCAGATGTAGATATAAGTATCTACTGAGCTGGTGACCAGGACCTCTGCCTCAAACCAAGACCAGTCCAGATCACTAAAGGAAGAGCGCACACATTGCAATACGTTAGGGAATTTAATGTTGTGATTTAATAAACAAATAGAAGTAAATAAAAAAATAATGTTCAGTAAACACATTCACTTCAATTAAAGTGCCAGTAAACACATCATAGAGAAAAAGAGAATACATTTTAGACAATTACTGAATACATGCATGTGACTATCAATGAAAATGTTTGAAAGTAGTCACATTTGGGTGGTAAACACATCAAATGCTGACAGTAAATATATTACAGTCACTCAGTAGCACAACTTTTGGTCAGTGTTAAGTTTCACAATACATGCAGATAAATATTACAGTCAGTATTGGTTAACACACCACAAAGAACAACATAGCACAAATAGTGCATAATGTATATATGTGTATATATATATATACACACATACACACACATATATACATACAGTACATACATGTAATTATATATCATAGTGGGTACGAAAGTATTCAGACCCCTTTAAATTTGTCACTGTTTCATTGCAGCCATTTGCCAAAATCCAAAACGTTCATTTAATTTCTCATTAATGTACACTCAGCAACCCATCTTGAATTTTTGCAAATTTATTAAAAATGAAAAACTGAAATATCAACATGGTCATAAGTATTCAGACCCTTTGCTCAGTATTGAGTAGAAGCACCCTTTTGAGCTAGTACAGCCATGAGTCTTCTTGGGAATGATGCAACAAGTTTTTCACACCTGGATTTGGGGATCCTCTGCCATTCTTCCTTGCAGATCCTCTCCAGTTCCGTCAGGTTGGATGGTGAATGTTGGTGGACAGCCATTTTCAGGTCTCTCCAGTCAAGAAGGTCACAGAGTTGTTCCGAAGCCACTCCTTCGTTATTTTAGCTGTGTGCTTAGGGTCATTGTCTGGTTGGAAGGTGAACCTTCGGCCCAGTCAGAGGTCCTGAGCACTCTGGAAGAGGTTTTCGTCCAGGGTATCTCTGTACTTGGCCGCATTCATCTTTCCTTCAATTGCAACCAGTCGACCTGTCCCTGCAGCTGAAAAACACCCCCCCCACCATGTTTCACTGTTGGGATTGTATTGGGCAGGTGATGAGCAGTGCCTGGTTTTCTCCACACATACCGCTTAGAATTAATGCCAAAAAGTTCAATCTTCGTCTCATCAGACCAGTGAATCCTATTTCTCATAGTCTGGGAGACCTACATGTGTTTTTTGGCAAACTCTATGTGGGCTTTCATGTGTCTTGCACTGAGGAGAGGCTTCCGTCGGGCCACTCTGCCATAAAGACCCGACTGGTGGAGGGCTGCAGTGATAGTTGACTTTGTGGAACTTTCTTCTATCTCCCCACTGCATCTCTGGAGCTCAGCCACAGTGATCTTTGGGTTCTTCTTTACCTCTCTCACCAAGGCTCTTCTCCCACGATTGCTCAGTTTGGTTGGACGGCCAGGTCTAGGAAGAGTTCTGGTCGTCCCAAACTTCTTCCATTTAAGGATTATGGAGGCCACTGTGCTCTTAGGAACCTTGAGTGCTGCAGAAACTCTTCTGTAATCTTGGCCAGATCTGTGCCTTGCCACAATTCTGTTTCTGAGCTCCTTGGGCAGTTCCTTCGACCTCATGATTCTCATTTGCTCTGACATGCACTGTGAGCTGTAAGGTTTTTATATAGACAGCTGTGTGCCTTTCCTAATCAAGTCCAATCAGTTTAATTAAACAAAGCTGGACTCCAATGAAGGAGTAGAACCATCTCAAGGTTACACGTTAAATATGAGTGTCACAGCAAAGGGTCTGAATACTTATGACCATGTGATATTTCAGTTTTTCTTTTTTTAATAAATTTGCAAAAATGTCTACATTTCTATTTTTTTCTGTCAAGATGGGGTGCTGAGTGTACATTAATGAGAAATAAAATGAACTTTTTTGATTTCAGCAAATGGCTGCAATGAAACAAAGAGTGACAAATTTAAAAGGGTTCTGAATACTTTCCGTACCCACTGTATATAGATGTAATTCTGTTAAATACCTGATGACACGGGTGTGTCCTTGTAGAGAGGTGTTAACTTTACCACAGCCATCCTTCCATGAGTACAAATCAACACGCTGGTTGCTCTAAACAAACACAGAAATTTTTTGTTGACATCAGATCTTGAAAGAAAACTTGGTCTCATTTATCCTTATTTATTAGAACAGAACTCACTGAGGCTGCAAACACATGTGACTCCGATTTGTGCGGATTCCATTGGACTGTTCCCACGTCCCATTTACTCTGTCTGCTGATTTTTCGAGCAGGTTCAGACGGTGCCTCTAGGTTTACTATATACAAGAAACGTCGCCTTAAAAACAAAACAAAGAAAAAAGAGAGGTTACAGTATCAAGTGAGTATTAACCCATCATCAACCCCCCCGACTGCTGCTTTTGTCTGGAACTAATGACACATATTTAAAGACATTGGTTCATAAAATATGATACTGCTATAGAACACCATGTAAAATATGTCTCAGTTGTCTTTATCTCAAGACACATTCCTTTCTTTTTTTAGGCATTGTATTTGTTTTGCTTGGCTATTGCTTTGGCACCCTCGGATGCACCCGTAATAACATACAATGTATTATGTGACAAAGCCCGTGAACAATAATTTTCTTAATCCTGTGAATTCCTATTCTGAAAAAAGTATTCCTTTGATATTTATACTCTTTTTTTAATACTGAATGTCTAGAGCAAAGAAAAAGCATAGTAAAAATTGTCAATTGTCTAATAATTTTAAAACCTTTAATCTACTACATTATTTATTATTTTCACAGTTAGGATGTCAATGTGCTATATTCGCCCACAATGGAAAAATGTGGTGCAGTAAGGTACCTCTACTCACCCAGATAGCACGGCATGAGAGCCAAGGCAGTCCACCGACATTGCAGTAGCCTTAAAAAAGAACACAAAGAAGATGAAGACAATGAAGAAAAACAGAGGTAAAAGTATAGAAGGATGACAGTTAAGAAGGTTAAGAATGAACTTTATATTTTCAAATTTATTTTATATATAAGTGTAAAACCAAGTGTGGGAAGAATGAACTTTATATTTTCAAATTTATTATAAGTGTAAAACCAAGTGTGGGAGGGTATTACATAAAGGCAGAACAATAAATGAAAAGCACAGAGTAAAGTATGTTCATTTTAAAATTATTGTATTTTTTAATTGAAATGTTGCTTCATGGTTTCATAATGATTGTTTTATATATGGAGTTTGTAATTAGGGAGTATTATGACACCTTCTCACTAAAAAAAATAATTTTACTAAGGTTGTCAGAAATAAACTAATAGATGTCTAAAAACATTTCTGTTTACCAAACATCCGGTTCAAATTACAGTTAGTATGTTGAACATGGCTGACACAGCGCCACACACAGTCCTGGCATAAGTTGTGCAGGGAGAGTAGTCACATTCTGTGGCTGTGTTTAGACACAAATCTTGTTTGCCAAAGCCTTCTGGGCACCACCCACAAGTGCTACAGTTTTTGATATGCTTTGATTGACTGTACTCATTCACCTTTTTCAGCTTCTAAAAGTCAAGTTGTTTTTTTTGTTTTGTTTTTGAGAACACAATGTTACAACATTTAACTTTCTGATATTATTTTGTCCATTATCACTCCCACACAAATCTATGTTTGCTAAATTATAGCTCTAATGTACAAGAGAGACCATATCCCCACCAGAATCATAGTTACTATACACTCAGTGGCTCAATTTGAGACTGGTAAGTGCTGGGTTCCAAACCATGACTTAAATCTTTGGTTCCCAAAGTTTTAATTTACAGGTGATGAAGGTTTAATTTTGTGGAAACGGTTAAATTTAAGGAATGTGAATTGCATTTATTAGTAAATGTATCCCTCTGCATTTCGTTTTGTTGGAATCAGCAATAAAACTTCGTTTGGTTTTTAAATAAAGTTCGGTGGACCAGAAGTTGGTGGGTCGACAATGGTGCTCTATCACATCACGTGCATGTCCATAAGGACGATCTGTTGTAGAGTAGACAACGCTATACACAATCTGTGGCATACATTATTTAACTCACCAATAACCACTGTTTGTTTAGTTGGCGTGGACTAGACCGTTAAATTATAGAAACATTGTTTGGCGCTTGTCCCAAGACATTCACCTAGCTTCACTTCTACAACACTATTTTCCATTCCAATTTTTCACTCGCAGTGAAAAATATAAAGACAAGTACCTGCGCATCTCGGAACTCCACCACCACTGTCTCGCTGCTCCAGCGAGCCGCCATCTTCTCTACATTCTTTAGACAACAAACTGTCACGTGACGCCGATTGCGCTCCACTAAACGTGTTATACATGGTTATTTTGAATACAAAATGACTGGCTTTACTGGCTTAATGACAGGTTTTTAGAAGCTTTCCAAACTTTAACACAAGTCTTGTTATTTTTGTTCATGTAAACGTGTTTATGTGGAAAATAAACGTAATAAATAAATGTGTTAGAACTGAATAAAAAAATAGTAACGGCAAGTTAAGCTATCTTTACGTTAATTGAGACATCAAACCAAAACTGTCACTAAAAATATTTTTAAAAACACAAATTCTTCTTATCACGTGACTGCGACTAACGGTCTGATTGGTTGTTCTCAGGTTGCGGTTTATGCAAGATGGCAGCTCCTCTGGTGGACCATGTTGTTGCAGATGCTGGAGCTTTTTTAAAGAACGTTGCTCTCCAGGTGGGTCATTGTTGACGGTTTTAAAATGTAATCGCTGATTGATGTAATAAACGGCCCAAGGGCTGACGGGGACAGTTAAAAAATGTCGCCAATCATAGACCATAGTTTTAGGTCCGAATTCACGTACCACAATCGCTGACGCAGTAAGACAGACGGTTTCCTGGTAAATGCTATTAGAAGGACTCTTTCATATCATGAAATATTTTATTCTTGTTAGTCAGGAGCACCTGGACCTAAAGATTAGTTGGACATGTTTTACGTGTCTGGTAATTCTTATTTGACATGTAGTGTAAGGATGCAGCTAAACTGAGACTGAGGCCGCATCAATTGGTGCTGTAGTTGTATTGCATCCAATTGAGACCTTTTACATTTTAAATAATAAATTAAGTTTGGTCCTGAATTGGGCACTTTACGGAACGGATTTATATTTGTGCACATGTTGTTTTTTGCAGTCCACTTATTTAAAGCAAATAATTTGTGATTAACATGAAATAACGTTTTTCATGAAATGATTTTACACTAATGTTGTAGGAGTAGTAACTCTCCAACTAACTTGTGTGATAACATTGTAAATTTTGATCACCTATTACTGCGCAATGTAATGTCAAAACTTTGTCTGTTTCAGGATATTGGCAGGAACATTTACACATTGAAAGATGTCGTCGAAGAAATCAGGGACAAACAAACCAGGAGGAGTCTGGCGTTTTTGCCATACCAGCTCCAGTTTAAAGAGCCACATCCTGAACATGTTCGACATGGTAACTGAATAAAAGTAACCCTAAACTGGACAAATTAGGCTTTACAAATACTGACATGTCAATTACAGTCTCTATATACAACCCAAACTAAACCTTAACTTAACAATTACAACTTGGTAACGGAACAAGAAAAAAAAACAAAAATTACAAAAGGTTAAAAAGCCAGAATAAATGCATGATTCACAGCTTAATAAAATTGCACATAAGCTGAACATAATATGGAGATATGTTTGTGCAATTGTGTTGTAGGTTGTTTCTTTGTATTCTTTACGTTCAATACCTTTGAACAATCCTAGCACATGTTACAATAAATTCACACACGTAATTGTTGTTTGTCTATTTAGTCGAATGCCAGGTTGAGAAACTGTTTTTCTTATTTTGTTAGTGACAGAATTCTCCAAAAAGACTGGCGATTACCCAAGTCTTTCAGCCACTGATATTAAAGTCCTGGCTTTGACCTATCAGCTGGAGCTGGAACATGTTGGTTCGCAACACTTGAGAACCCAGCCAGAGATCAAGGTAAGTTATGTCACATATACTTACATGCAGCTGTATAAAGAGGGAAGCAGCATTTATTACCCAGCAGGAAAGGTAAACTATGTTCACTTCTCAGCAACTGTATCTGTGTTTAATTTTAGGTAAAAAAAGACCTAAACATTTACACAGAGAACACTTACATTCCTTTTGCACATACTGTAAAAATGTGCACTAGTCATAGTTGTGTGTTTGTGTGCACACAAGCAAAAAGCTAAATCTTGTTAAGTTTCATTTATTATTTACGCAATAGAGATTTATAAGTAATTCATTACAATTAATTAATTAATTGCCAATTACATCATCTTCATGTTGTCTATGTATAATGGCGCTTAAGCCACACACTGTTTTAACATAAATATGTATGAGGAGCTGATTTTTTTTTTTATGTATCTCAGATACATGTGACATACATGTTACACTTTATTTAACAATTGAATTCTCTGATATGTGATTATATTGTGTTATGTTTATATATTAGTTATTTTCTAAAAGAAAGGGGAGTCTGTTACATTTTTGAAAGAATAGTGTTTTGCCCTTTTTCCAGCAGTTACTCAAGTAAGTGGTTTCTTTCAGGTTAATATTCACGGAACACAGCGCCATCCAGAGACTCCCGTGAACATTGCAGGATTTCATTTACCCCACAAGGTAAAAAAAAATCTAGTTTGGTTTATTAAGACTTCTTTTTCTTATTGAAAATCATCTATTACCAATTATTTCCACAAGTTTAAAAAATGTATCTCTTTGATGTCCCTTTAGCAACCAAGTAATAATAAAATCAGCAAAGAGCATTGCACTAAGACAGATTCCTCAAATTTCCAAGACTGTGACGAGTTCAACACCTTTCAGTTCTGGAGAGAGCCGCTGCCATCAATCGGTGACGACTTGCTGGAGCTCCTTGTAAGTCAGATCTTTAATAAATTTCAATTGACCCCCTCTTCTGTTCTCTCATTGTCCCATCTCTTCTTCGTTAATCTCTTTCTCTGCACACTCTCCTGGACCTCATTATTCCACCACCAGGTTTCTTTGTCTTCCTTTCTCTGCCCAGAGGACATACCTAGCACCTTCCTACCTGTCTCCCAATCATCTGGAAATTTCTCAACACAGCACAGAACTGCCCCTACTTCTTTCTTGAAGTCTTCACAACATTTCTCTTCCCTTAATTTCCACCACTTGATCTTCTGCTCTGTCTTCACTCTCTTCCTTTTTTTTCACCTCCATCATCATCTTGCACACTACCATCCGATGTTGTTTGGCTACACTCTCGCCTGCCACCACCTTACAGTCTCTAATCTCCCTCAGATTACATCTTCTACATAGAATATAATCTATCTGTGTGGACCTGCCTCCACTCTTGTAAGCCACCCTCTGTTCCTCTTTCTTTTGGAAATAGGTGTTTACCCCAGCCATTTCCATTCTCTTTGCGGACTGTACCGCTGCCTGTACTACCAAGTTTCTATCCCTAACGCCTAACCTGCCCATCACTTCCTCATCTCCTCTGTTCCCTTCCCCTACATGACCATTTAGGTCTGCTCCAATCACCACTCTCTCTCCCCTGGGGATGCTTTTCTATCGCTTATTCTAGAACTTCTCATTTTCTTCCAACTCACAGCCCACCTGTAGGGCATAACTGCTGACAACATTCATCATCATACCTTCACACATCAACCTGTCGGACTCTCGTGTCACCTCCACCACATTTCTCGCATATTCTTCCTTTAGGATCACCTCCTACTCCATTTCTCTTCCCATCTGAACCATGATAAGGTAGTTTGTAGCCTCCAATGTTTCTAGCCTTGCAGCCCTAGTGGCATAATGGTGTGGAAAAGGGTAATACAGTCTAGGCAGGGTTGATAACCGTGTGGGGGAGGTTCGTAAAGGGTAAATATATACATAAGTAATATAAAAATCTCGCCTCTACTTTGCGGATTTTCCCTTGCGGTGATAGGAGAGGGACCACTGTAAGTTTTACTCTGAAACAAGCTCTTTCCATAAAACATTGCAAAAAAAAAAAAAAGTTCATGAACTAAGTACATTTTTGTTCACATGGAAAAAAAAATGGAACCTTTAATTAGTGTCTCTTGTTTTCTCAGGATTCAGGCAATGTTGTAAACAATGAACAAACGCAGACATCACTAATGTCCACTGCAGCATCTGAGGGTGATGAATTCAACTCCTTCCAGTTTTGGAGAGAACCACTGCCACCTTTGGACGAAGGTGTTCTGGGTTTACTGGTGGGCTTACCACTTAATTTAATATTGGTGACAGCTTGGCTTGAAGGGAGATTTGGGGAATGTGTTAAAAGAGTGCTTGTGTTTTTGTGATGTACCATACATCACCTTCCCTCACATGTATTCTTAAATAGTATATACAAGTACAGTACAGCGGTATGAATGTTAACAGGTCGTAGGATTCATACCAAACAAAAGTAAACAAAAAATGAATGTAGAGAACTGTTACATGAAAGTAACAGTTCTCTACATATCCTCCATTTTTGGTCGGTATACTTCAGCAAGCAATATTTCTATTGGAGAAAACCTTTGTAGAGGGTTTTTTTTTTTTACCTTGTCTAAGGACTAAAATTAAGTTTAAAGATAATTAAAAAAAAGTTACTCAGCCACACTAGGCTGGAGGAAGTTATGAGTTATATTTCCAGAAATTGGACATGTGTGCACGATGTGTCTATATTATCTGTAAGGATAAAAATTCCTATTTTGAACACAAGTTGTTTTTCCTGTAATTAAATATTTCACCAAGGGGAACATAACAAAATCCCTTTGTTTCCAGAATGGGAATGGTTACAGGACTTTAGACAAAAGGTCAGAATTGCAAAAGGAAAGTCAAACCAATGATGATGGGAAAGAGAATGAGCTAGAGGAGGAAGAGGAGGAGGAGGAAGAGGAGGAGGAGGAGGAAGACGACGATGACGGAGGAGGTTGGATCACCCCCAGTAACATCAGACATGTTAAGATGGAGTCTCCTGATGGGGCAGTCTCAGCGAATGTCAGAGTGGGTTGTCTGACTACTGACTTTGCTATGCAGGTAAAATGCACTGTTCGTCGTTTTTAAGTTTAGTCTGTAACAATAATTAGTTTTTAATCATTTCATTATTAATGCATTTTTATTTATGTTTATACAATAATCATTTCATTATTAATGCATTTTTACTTATGTTTATACAATATTTGCAATTTGCAATATTTGACTATTGAATTTTAATTTAGGAGAAAGTTCAACATGAAGGAAAACTTGACATTTGCTTTATTTTTTTTGAACTTTGAACGTTTTCACACTGGGGGAAATTTTGTGGATGTGGGTTTGATTATATTACCACTGAAAATTGTGTTTTTGGTGCTCTCATAAATCTTAAGTTCTTCCAAATGTTATTAGGAGCACAGGAGCTGCTTTGGGAAAAATGCCAAAGTAGAGCCCTACTGCATATGTATAATTCAACAATTCAAAATGATCAAAATGTACATAATTGACAGAAACTGTATTTTTCTCTTTCCAGAATGTTCTCATTCAGATCGGACTCCACGTGCTCTCTGTTAATGGAATGATCATCAAACAGGCAAGGAACTACATCCTGAGATGTCACGCCTGCTTTAAGTGAGTTTGGCCTAAAACGGCCTCTTGAGTTCATTGAAATATTTTTCTTTAGAACTGAAGCCTTCAGCTATTGTTCTTGTTCCCTCTGACGTGTGGTACCAGAACAACGAGCAATATGAACAAGGTGTTTTGTCAACATTGCGGAAACAAGACTTTGAAGAAGGTGGCAGTGACGATCTGTGAAGATGGCAATATGAAGATGCATTTCTCTACCAATCCAAAAGTACTGAACCCAAGGGGACTGAGGGTAAGATGGGCTGCCTGAAACGAACACCACACCTAGGAACTGCACAGTTTCTAAACATAATATTCCTGCTTCTGTCTTTCTGTGATGTCACTCACTCTCTTTTAGTAGTTGTCTGTCATTGTGTGCACAATGTTGACGAGTGCTGTAGATGAAAACAGTTAAAAAGAAAATGACCTTTTGGCTCAAAATTTGCTTTCATGAACCACTTCAATAAATCACGTCACCTCTAAAAGAAACATGTTTAAAACATCAACTACCTTCCTGTAGGGTCGTCTTCGATAATATTCAAAGAACAAATACAAATGTTCAATGGAGTCCTAAGTCATCTGTGTCCTGTGTTTTAGTACTCACTGCCTCAGCCACAAGGCGGGAAACATGCTAACAATCCACAGCTGGTGGAGGACCAACCCTGCCCACAGCAACGGTTGTCTCAAAAGGCTCGGCAAACGAATGATGTCTTTAACCCAGATTACTGAAAAATCTTTATTAAACCAAAGGTCTTTAAACTGACATCAGTCATTACATTAACTATAGACAATATATTGGGTTAAGTAAGGATGAATAAAACATATCAGATAAATTAAACATTCCATGTAGTTAACTTATACAACACAGTAGTGTTGGTAAACTGAGAAGAGACAGTAAATTTTTTTTTTTCTGTCTTCATCCTTACTATTCTTTCTTTATTCTTGATGTGCTGCTGTTTGTATCGTATTGATTTTATTGATGTGTTATTCTTGTTGTACTGGTGCTGTAATGCTGTCTGTCTGTAAGAGGAAAACACATCATTGGCCTACGGGACGAGAAAATTTACAGATATAGAGAGCTTAATGATCTGGGGGAAAGTTGCAGAGTTATTTTCCCACCGTCACCTCCACCTTGTCAACTTCGTCAATCCAGCTGGATGACAAGAAATGTCTGTGAGCTTCTTTTTATCCCTGCCATTGCCATGATTGACAACTTGCTCTGCTTTCCTCTGTTCAAGAGGCTTGGTGAGTAGAACCACTGCCATAGTATAACTATTGACCAGGTATAAACACCATCTCAGTCATTAACAAAGACTAAAAATAGAAAGGTTATTGAGTAATTAAGATTCTGATTTCGGATGACAGAGAGCGTTTATTACAATTCAAATATAAGTATATGGATTTCAATATTTAGTTTGAGTTCAATTTACAATTTTGATTTGTTAATTTGGAATTCCGGTACCCTTAACTGTGACCTGGATGGGCAACATCAGGATTTGTTGCCCAAGAAACACAATTAAGGTGATATGACAACTCTACCCAAACCAGATCGGCTGTCACCCTCTTGGTCAAGGACCACACTCACAGTTGCTTACCAGGAAAGATGGTGAGTTATGGTGCAACCAAAGACCCTCTTGGTTATATCGGATAGAAAATTATAATTACTAATTATAATACGCATGACTTTAACACAATGGGAGAAGCAGGATCCAATCCTTGGTTTAATTGTCTTTCAGAAGGTTTCTTTAGATTAAGAAAATGTACATGCAGATGTACTGGTAAATATACGTCTCTAAAATTAAGAACACAAAGACAACCTACTTAGCCCTAACTCTATTTCCAGATTTTTATCTGTTTATATTGTCAAACATAAAGTCACAATGAAATTTGACCACCTACTTCCCATTGCTTCCTTTACATGTCAAGCCCAACATCTGCAACAACTCTCTCAACTTTAGTCAAAGCATTACACAATGATTAAATAACATCATTTATTTTCTACTGATCAAAAAGTAAAATGTGTTCATTTCAGCATTTTTTTCCCCCATTAAAGTTGATTTTTTTTTTGTATACAAAACCCTGAAAAAGTAAAGAGCTCTATCACCAGATCCCAGGATCCTTTGTTATGACTAAAACTTTAAACGGTTGACTGTTGCCATCAGATTCATATTTATTCCCATTTATTCTCCAGCACCAGGTTTGTCACTGCAAAAAAAAAAAAAGCCTTAGTCTGACACCATCTCATTATCCTGATCTGCCGAGCATGGCTCTGTCAGTGCAAGGAGGCTCTCAAGCTCAGTTTCTTTGGGACTGGAGCCTGGCAGTGCTGAATCTAGATCTAGTACTGGTTCCTTGGGCTGTGTGTCATACTTTAAACTGTTTAGCTCATTGGCAACATCAACTGTGGACACTGGTGGCAGAGTCAATATTTCTCTCTGTGGAAGCAAGAAGTCCAAAGGCTTAAGGACAGCGGCGATGTCGATGCAGCCCAAACTGTCATACCTGTGCAGCTGTGTTGGAGCAATGCCTGTATAGAAACAAGGTATAACAGAATGACAATTTAATAAACAAAAAAGCCAATTCAGCTGTGTGTTTAGATAAGGATGGCGTGTTGGGGCAGAGAACTGTGTCCTATCAGCTGTATACAGAAATGACACGGTTCTCCGCCCCTCCTGGAGCAGAGAGTAATACTAAACTCCCGCGCTTGCTTCTCAGTCCCACCTCTCTGTAACCTTTCCATTAGTAAATCCTGCTCAAGTCAATAACAATAATGGCAAAAAACCATGCGCCTTCTGACTGTGCTGGAGAGCTAATTTGGTTATTTGTGTGGTTATAGTGTGTAGCGATTAGCTTGCCTGCCTTGCAAGCAAAAGGCAGAGAGTCCTGATTCCCAGAGTTCCCTAATGGCAATTCCCCCTCCTGTTGCTTTAGAGAAAAGCATCTCCTAAATGCATAAATGTAAATGTGTTGTGCTAGAGTGAGCCACCTCCATATTTTCTAGTTTGTTTTCAAGCTTTTTCTATGCACGCTCTTTGGGTTCTTTTCTTGTTTTCCAAACTAACATTTTTTACACTTTTTTTTTTTGCAGCAGATCAGTGTAAATGCTCTGTATCTAGAGGCTACTTTAATCATATCGTCGCTGTGTAAACAGGGCCTAAGATGGGCTGAGACATACACATGTCTATACATATACATACATATATACACATACACACACACATACATGCATATATATATACATATATATGTATATATATATATACATATATATGTATATATATATATACATATATACACATATATATACATATATACACACATATATACACATATACACACATATATATACACATATATATATATATACACACACATATATACACACATATATATACACATATATATATACATATATATACACACATATATATACACACACACATATATATAAATACACATATATATATATATACATATATATATATATATATATATATATATGTATATATATATATATATGTATATATGTATATATATATATATCTCAATATGATTGTTTCTTTACCTAGAAGGAGCGCAACCTGTGCTGGAGGAAACAGGACCTGCAGACAGCGATTAAGAAATGGCAGCAAATCTTCAGCATATGCGCAGCAGAACTGAACAAACAGTTCCTTCTCTTTGCTGCTGAATGCTGTCTCCTCAGTCCGGTGAAAAAACAGAATCTGACGAGTTACCTGTGAGAAAAGGAAAACCAAAGCACATTTAAAATTCACTATTTTTCATGGTGGAAAGGCATAGAATGTGGACCAAGTATGAATACATTTTGTCTATTAAATCCTAAGACCCTTTCTACGCCCATATTTTTCTACGTGACAGCCTGACCCAAAACAAATCATTTCCTTTTCTAAAACAGAGCAGGACACAGAGAAATAGTTGTTTTGCCCTAAGGTATACATGAAAAGTTGATCAACTGTTGCCTCTTTTGGTGAGTTGGAGTTACTAAGGTAAAACAGTGAATTATTTTATACCAAAGACTAAATATAAGGAAAGAACAGAATCACATACAGTACCCTGTGAATTCTAATTGCAAAGGCTCCACTAATTCCAGAGTAACCTGCCATGTTTATATGCCTATGAACTGTGGAGCTTCATCTCCCTCAAGTTAAACATCTGCCAGAAAATTGTCAACAACTAGCCTCAGGTATTATTCTAAAGACAACAATGTCACTTTTGCAAGTACCAATTATATATACATTTTAATTTTGTTATATTCCCTTTACATATTTTTGTTTCATTAGTGGTCTCCACAAGCTTAATTTCTAGTTATTTTGTCTAGGGTTATACCAGAAGCTGTTCCTGAATTGACATTGTTATTGATGAGGCAGATTAATATGAACATACAGCAACAGCATTGCGGGCAGAAATCCTACTATTGCACGGCACATATAAACCAATGTAAAAAAAGCGAGATAAATTGAAAATATAATCCATTTGTGACAACAGGGGTGACAGGATACATTCCCAGGTTAACGTTGTAATTTAACTAATAAATATAGCTGTTGTCAACTGATGTCTATTGGCTCAGCTACATTATCCTATATTTTCTTTAAATGTGGAAGTTACTGCTATTTCTTTCATATGGTCCGGGTTTTGAACACGATCGACACAAACAGACAACTTTTAAACTCTGATGGTAGCTTTGGATTGAAAGTTATAGTGGTATTTCTCCGTGGAGTTTTGTGTACAGTGTGAACGGATTTTCTGATGTTCCAATGGGGAACAGGTGCTCACCGTCATCAGCGTTTCCTCTAAACTTTTGGTGATGTTCTGTACCAAAGAAATGGGACAGCAGAGCCGAAGGTCATTAAAGGCGACCAAAATGTTGTTAAGGAAGCATGCCAGTGGCTGAAAGTCCAGTAGAGACATAGGGGGTTGCAGGGTTCCAGGCTGGACACTGGGTGTCATGGTTGTGATGGCCCCTCCCATTGCTGACGGCAGAGAGATTAGTGTGTACAGGTTCATGTCCTCTTGGAATTTGTCTACAGACTCCTGTAATGATTTGCTAAATGTTTTTGCAGCCACCTGTTGAAACATGGGAGCCAGTTGCCCACGGAAATCCGCCCCAACCCTGCTAAAGGACAGGCCAAAGTACATGCATTGGCCTAACAGAGAGTCCAGGCGACCTCCGACACCCAGCTGAAGGTCCCTCTCTAAAGTCTCCAGAAAATCTGCCACTCTCTGCACCACCCAGCCATGAAAGATGGCACCTTCATCTACCATCATATGTCCTCCAGCAGGGGGGAGATGAGGGTCCTCATCAGAGAAAATTGCACGGTACTGGGTGATAATGTCAAACAGGTGAACCCTGCAGGCTTCAATGGTTTTAGTAATGTGGAAGTATGGGTCATCTTTGGGGATTGCTGCAAGAATTGAATCCAGCCAGGTAGTACGGGCCTGCAAGAACTTCACCCGAAGCTCTGCCTCCATAAAAACATCCATCCTCCTCAGGTAACCAATGACACGTAGACATACGGGAAGTGGCGAGTTGCTGCGCAGCTGCTGAAACAGCTGGTTGAGCATTAGCTGAGTTGACTGAAGCACTTCATGCACAATACCCTGAGAAAACAAGACACATTTTACATGTGAAACAAATAATAACCTGCTGCTTAATAATAAGAATGAAGACAGTATCATTAAACACATTTAACATAGATATTAGCACTAACCTAATATGATATTATTATGAATATATAAAATTAAAGCCCAACAATGTGAGGGACTGTATGACCTGAAAATGTGGAAACAAGCTCCTGCCCTTTAGTGACCTTTAATATTGTTTTATTTATACTGTTGTTTTATGACAGTATTCTAGCTCCCCTTGGACTCACTTGGATGACCTGGATTGATGAGTGTTTTTTCTCTAGTCTTTTTACATATGCTGCAAGCTCCAGTGCCTCCTCGTAGTATCCATTCCGTACACAAGTGTCCATGAGCTGTGGAATTTCCAGAATCTCTAAGATTTCAGTGTGACGATTCAGTGTCAGGCTATTCATTCTACGACTTGCTCCAATGTTTTCTGCCTCCTTCACAAAGCCCCTGAAGAGACAAAACCAGAGCAACAATATGGTTAGCTTAAACAGTCTGAATGTGTACTTGGATAGGGAAAAGGGAAAAAAAGAGCCACCAAGAGAAGAGGTCCGGTCCAAAAGTGGAAAATCTAGATTAATAAGATTTTCCCTGATCTTGTACCTTAAACCCACAACTATAAAGATAATAACAACCCTAATGTAATAACAGCCAATATTGTAATAATTTTGCTCATATTACACGTAATAAAGTCCAAAACATAGTACCTTACCATTACTGTATCACTCTTCATCTTTCTTTTGTATAATTATTTTCTAATTGCCTTCTGCTTTCAGGCTATTCACATTCTAATAAACATTCTTGAATAAACCAGGTAGCCACAATAATGAAAACTGGTTTTGGGCAAACAGCTCAATCATCATTGACCTTGCATAATAATACTACTGCCTCCTGTTAAGAATCGTGGATTCACCATTGAGGCAATTAAGGTTTAAACCCATCTCTGCTGACCATTATGCTTATCTAGCACTGACCATGCAGCACCAACCTGCATTTCTCTCCAAAGCCTGGAAGTTTGTCCAACAGCCGTGACACGCTGCTTTCTACCCGGCCAAAGTCCCGATAAATGTGCTCAGTGCAGTCTGCCGTGCGGATGAAAGTCTGGTAGTTGGAGAAGGCTAGCTCTTCGGTCTGTTTCAGGATCTGAGCCCGCTCCTCCGCCAGTCGCTCCGGCTCCCGACTCAGCGTTTCTACTCCAAAAGAGCTCAGTTCGGAAAGGTAAACAGTGAAGTCCGGATTGTCTCTCCAGCTATCCTGGAAGCTGTTCTTGAAAATAGACGCCAAAATACTTTCGTCTTCCACGTCCAACGCCGCCATGTTCCAGAAGTAGGTTTGGCCTTCGCCACAGACGTTATATTAAACGACGTCGTTAAAATAAATTCGACCAATATTACAATAAGGAGCTGAGACTGAAATGTTTAACTTATTAGAAATAAATGTTACAGCAAGGAGTAACCACAACCATTTTCTTCCGGATTTCTTTTCCTAAGGCGTGTCAAGAGAAGACCAACCCCCTGTCTCCGACTGGTTAGGATTTACACTTGGAGTAGTGACGTCAATAGTTTTGTCCGTCCACGTAGTCCACTGCTAAAACCACTGCAATACACTATACCAGGGAATTACCTTTTGCAACCACAAAACTTTAAATCAAATTTGATGTTACAAGTCAACTGAGAAACAGAGAAAACGTGGACTGAATGGATTTAAAGTCTATATATAACGAGATACTGTTTCATTGTTATGAGATATTACATTATAATAATTAGATATTATTATTATTTTGACATGAAATCTACGATTTTTACACAAGTGGGAGAAATGGGCTTTCATAACAGTACAAATTACAGTGTTAATTCATTCGACTGTGATTGGCAAATTATTTTAAACAACATTTGGAACCTATTAGTTTATTTTGCTACCAAAACAGTGATTCTCCCACTAGACCACTGGCTGCCCGTGCAAAAAACATTTTGACTACACTGGTCGCACCCTTTAAAACTCAGTTAGACCATAGTGTATTTACGCAATAGTCAACAATAGATGGCAGTAGAGAAGATGGAAGAGGAATTAAAAGACGAAAAGGGAAAAAGAAGAAGGCAACGAAGAAGAAAAAGCTGTCAACATGGCGATCCAAGCAGCATAATAACACGGAGCTCCGCAGTTCATACCTTCAAAAGGTATGTTAATATTTAGTCAAATCTTAAAGTTTTGATTTCAGCAGACGAATATTGAACTAAGCCTTGAGTGTAGACCACAGCTATACAGAGCTTTCCACTACTTCTTCAAAAAATAATCTGAACAATACAACTAAGGAACATAATGCACTCAAAAACACTCTTTAAAGTATTACTTGTCTGTATAAGATATGAAAACAATCCATGAGGTTGAGAGATAGGCGAAGGTGACGGATACTATCAACGAGCAAGCAGGTAGATACAATGTACAGGAAACGAATTGAGCGATCTTCATTGATTTTGATTAGATGTAACTTCTCTAGATTTTTCACAGATAAAACCTAGAGAAGTTAAAGTGTTGGTTGAGAGATGGAACGACATCTTCACTAATGAATATGAAACCTAAAAACAAACTGTTTTAGCCTAAACAAATCACCTAGTCAATGTGGTCTTACAACTACTTAGTGGTTCTCAAATCCCCTTACCAAACAAGAATTAAACAATATAATTCTGAGACCAAATGCTGATTATAAGTAGTTACTCATTTCTTAGCCATCAGATTTAAAAGATCTGAGTAGAATAATTACTGATCTACAGTAAGGCTTTTATGAAAACGATTGCTATATGACTAAAGATGACCTGCCCTTAATTGTATGATTGTACTACGTACATGTGAATTAAGAAAATTGAATAATTAATATTTTTAATTAATTAAGAAGTGGTGACACATATTTGAATATTGTAAATATAGATATACACAAATCTACATGATCCACATGAGCAATATTGTTTTCCCTGAAAAACCAGAGATAGTACCGGGGATAGTTATTCACACATTAGCGGGCCATCCAGTGACACTACAAGATTGCCATGACTCAGGATTTGGACACAGGTGGTTTTAGAAGAAGAACTTTGTCAAGTTTGAAAAGGTTAAGATGAGAAAAAACATTAAAATTGTTACTGAAACATCAGTAGGAATAGTTACTGGATTGATGCAATGTGAATATACTTAATATTTCATCATTTATGTTTTAGTAAAACTGTGTTGAAAATGACGTATCAAATTTGATACAGCAGGTATATAATGTCATGTAAATCTAAATCAGTCAACTGTCATTTTATTGTATTTCATGCATTATATAAAACAGTTTTTTTATTTTTAGATTACATAATTTGGTACATTTAGAGTAAAAAAGATATGTAACTTGCTGTATCATATTATATATTATATACATCTTATTATATTATATTGTAATATATGTAATATATATAATATATATAATTATATATATTACATATATTACAATATATATAATAAGATGTATATAATATATAATATGATACAGCAAGTTACATATCTTTTTTACTCTACATGTACCAAATTATGTAATCTAAAAATAAAAAACCTGTTTTATATAATGCATGGAATACAATTAAATGACAGTTGACTGATTTAGAGTTACATGACATTATATACCTGCTGTATCAAATTTGATACAGCAGGTATATAATGTCATGTAACTCTAAATCAGTCAACTGTCATTTTATTGTATTTCATGCATTATATAAAACAGTTTTTTTATTTTTAGATTACATAATTTGGTACATTTAGAGTAAAAAAAGATATGTAACTTGCTGTATCATATTATATATTATATACATCTTATTATATATATTGTAATATATATAATTATATATATATATATATATATATAATTATATATATTATATATATATAAATAAAATTTATGTAATATAAATATATACATAATATGTTTTCCACACTTCCAACCAGCCAGTTCCATTAGTGGCTTTCTCATTATGTACTGTATTATGGTAACACTTTTTATATGTGGAATTACAAATTTGTTAGATTTGTTTGTGTTTTATTATGTTCTTGTTTCTGTAGGAAAAAAAAAGAATATTTGACCATTATGACCCGATGTATCAAACGTGATACAAATTGAAACTCATATATGGAAAATTATATTTAAATGTTTTTTCAGTAAATAATAAAGGGTCAAAGTTCAAAGAATTAGAATTTTCTGTCAATCATTTAATGGTGTGGGCTTTACAGCGTTAATTCCAAAAAATAGAGACAAAACACTTTTATTGTGAGGGTTGGTTCGCGTATTAGCTATGGCTATTATTTGTTCACTTGTACATTTTAGGTGTGTTATAATTAGTGATTTTCACGTTTGTTCATATGGTTGCTATCCAACAAATTTCTTTACAAATCAGATACTATTTTGTTTTTTGGAGTGATTCAAAGGGATGGGAATAGGGTGGGAGGAAACGAAAGGAGAAGAAAAGAAAGAGCGAACGACGAAGGAAAGAAATAGAAGGAGAAAAAAAAAAGGCGGAGGAAGGTGTTAGCTTACGGTAACCATGTTACAGACTGTAAACAAATTCCGAACGTCTCGGAAAGGTTTTAATGGCGTTAAACCGAAGAGGCTCTAGCTATGGTTTGAGACGAGACGGTTATAAGCTGTCACCACATAAGAAATCCCCTTCAAGCTAACCCAGCAGACTGAGTTTACTGGACTAGTTAACTCCACGTTAGCTGCTCTTCGACCATTTCATCTAAATGGGCCCCTGCGACATGCACCGCGGGGAAACTTTTTTGTTAATCCCATTTCAAAGCGGTAATGTATCTTCCGCGGTAGTTCACCAGTTATTTGCGGACACAGGTTCGTTTTCCAGTGTACAGACAACAACGTTTTTGCTTTGGAATTAAGTGCGCCACATGTTTAAACTATTAAAATGAATCACCCTCGTGTGTCCTTGGGTGACAGAAATGCGCCTATGAAATATATTATTATTATTATTATTATAAACTATAGTACGTGGGTGACAGCATTACTGCATTACAACATGTCTATATTGTCTGTTGAGGGATTTATATTTCATTTCACTGTCTTTATGTACAGAAGTGATGAAAATACCATTGTAAGTTGTCTATGAAGATTCTCAGTCATCTCCAGGTCATGGTCAAGGTTGAAGAATTCTGTTAGGCTCACGTCCGGTTGTCTAACAGAACTCTTCAACCTTGACCGTTGTAAGTTAATTCTTAGTGGGAATAAACCCACTGCTAATTAAGTGCATTATGTATATACTATATTACCTTATTGTTTTGGCAAAGTGAATTCAATCTGAACAGGCCGAATTGCAGGATGTTATGAATTGTATTGACCCCTTGAAGGTCTGTAGTTATAGTTTGTAAAAGTTCATTATGTCTGTTAATTGTGATTCATTATGTCCGATAACAGTGATTCATTCAATTTACCTGTGATAGTTTCAGCAGAGAGCATGCATAGTTATTTTTCTCCATGTAGCTTTCTGTGGCTGTTTAACAATAGTAATCTGAATTATGGTACAGGTATTATATCTTTTCTTTTGAGAAGATGTGACGCTGCCTTTTCAGTAGATTTAAGAAGTTTAAGTAGACTAATGAATTTACAGTAATTACCACAAGTAACACCACTGTTTAAAATTTCTTAACATTCTTTTTAAAACAGGTCCTTGAATGTTTTTTCTGCCGGTGAATATCTAAATGTGATCAGCATGGATGCTGTCAGAACCACAAAGATCTCATGGTGCTTGCGTGAGTTTAAATTTTCCTTGAAATAAAATGATTTCTCCAATTGCATTGTTTTGGGGCTAAACGACTTTGTTTTCTTGGTCTTTGTGAAGGGAATACACATTATTCTTGGGACTGCCTCTTGGTTTTTGTCCACATTAATATTGAATGATAAATGGAGGAGAAATGTATGATATGTATTCAGACATGTCAAAAGTAAAATGTTTTATCTGTATTGTGCAGAGGAGTTTGAGGCTCACTCAAGCAAGGTCTCATGTTTGGCACTGGGAAAAAGCTCAAGCCGCCTGCTGGCTACAGGAGGAGATGACTGCCGGGTGAACATCTGGACTGTGAGCAAGGCCAACTGCATCATGGTAATTCCACCTAAATGTGCACACAGGATGGCAAGTAGATCATTTAAAGGATTCAGATTATTCTCCCACTGTGCTTATTTCTGATCTTTTAGAGTCTGACTGGTCCCAAAAACCCAGTGGAGTGTGTACAGTTCAACACGTCAGAGGAGCAGGTTGTAGCTGGTTCACAATCTGGATCAGTTCTAATCTGGGACCTGCAGGCTGCTAAGAGTAAGACCCAGTTTATTGCCTTAAGTAGTCATCAGAACTAGAAAACCACTACACAATATAAGAATTACTTTTGGTTTGCCACAACAGTAGTTTGTAATTTGGCACGTTTTTTTTTTTTAGACCAGATTCCCTTTTGTGATGCAACCCACACTGGGATTTGGGGGACTAGTTATCGAACCCATGGGCGGAGTCCTGCCAGAAAAGTACTATACAATCATGGCCATCGTCGTAATTCTGACAGACAATGCAGCAATTCTTTCAGAAGATTGTTGCAATTCTGATTGTCTTGATATTGATATGTTTAAGTCTTCAAGTTAAACCTAACACAATTTCACTCAGAACTCAAAATTGTTGTCATAATTTTAATAATGAATTGCTTTTGAAACATTGGCTACTCCGGATATTTCTTACAGTTACACCTTTTGCCAGGTAACAGGTGTCTGGAATCGAGCGATGTTGAAATTGAGCAAAGTAAAATTGTTTGAAAGTAGATTTAAGAGCCAAAGTAGCAGAAAATGGGGGGCAATCTCAAGGCTCCCACTTCCCTGAAAGGAGGTGTTCCTGTGTTCACTCTACTCAATTTAATTAAAAGCTTACAGCCTATTGCACTGACAAATTCAATGTCATTTCCATGAAGCAATAGTCTCTACCTGAACCATTTGTCTCCATTTAAATAAAAAGCACAGTATGATATGAAGGGCCCACGATGAAATTGAATCACTAAGGCATGAAAAAGCCTGACTGGAGTTTGCCTGAGTAATATATAGATAGGTATGTAGGAATCTACCTACAGAATTGCAACAATTATCTGGAAGAAACGATGCATTATCCAACAGAACTGCTGATATTTCAGACTATTTCATGACTATAAATACAGGCATTGAGAAGAGGATGAAGCCATTTAATTTATGGCTAATAGAAGAAATGAGCACTACCATTAATAATCATGTCATAATATAGTGTTGAAAGTTAGACAATCAAATGTTGTGTGGTCAGTATGTCATTTTTCATTATGTATTTAACTTAATTTGTTTTGATAGCATATGAACATTTTGAAATCACTGTTACATTTTAAAAAGAAACAAGTAAACTATACAAAACTTTTTTCTTTTTTCTTTTTTTTTGCCAGTTTTAAGGACTCTGATGGGACATAAAGCAAGTATTACCAGTCTTGGCTTTCACCCTTTTGGGGACTTTCTTGCCTCTAGCTCCATGGACACAAACATCAAGGTGGGTGTGTCTACGCTTTGCTGCTACACAAAGTCAAAAACAAGTGACGATTAGACAATAAATAGGAATCTTTGTGTTCAGTTGGGGTTTGCAAATGAATGCATTTAGGTCCAGTAGCCCAATAATATTATTTGCAATGACCCCTTGGTGTGTTTGTTTATTAAAATATGTGTAATCACCTGTGTCATTATAAACACTAAGACTGTTTCTTTTTTCTTTTTATTTCAGCTGTGGGATGTTCGGAGGAAAGGATATGTGTTCAGGTATAAGGTCAGTAGTATGTGTTTTTGTGTGTGGTGTGGGTGTTTGTTCTTAATTTTAGGCCTGGGTCCTATGTGTCAACCAGTGTTGGTCAAGTTACTTGGAAATAGCAACTAGTTATTGATTACTGATTATGTCTCCAAGGAGGTATTCTGGTTACTTTACTGATTACGTATATTCCCAGAAGTAATTAGTTGCATTAATAATTACTTTACTTAGTTACATATCAAGACATGCACAACCTAAATACTCTGTAAAGCAATTGACCTTTCAGACTAATTCTGATCTTTTTGCATCACATGAAATTGAAATTGAATTAAATTGTACATTTAAACTTATTTTCTGCACATTCCTACATATTTTAGTAAAAGTTTATATTCATATTTAAGTTTAAATTAAATCTATATTTCTGCATATCCCAGTATATAATACAATTCTTTTTTGTGTTTTTAGGGTTAGGGTTAGTAAATAAAATAAAATACAGCAAAAACATAATTGAGGTCAATGTCTCTGTATTCCAAATTAATAAAATTCAAATGCATATTTAGATGTACTGTATATGTGTGTAGGTATATGTATGTGTGTGTGTACGTACATATGTATATGTATAGTGCATATATGTGGATGTGGGCGTATGTACACTGTATGTATATATATATATGCATATTTATAACTTATATGCTAGTTATAAATATACTACTAATATCTGTCCTATATAATATTATATTATATATGGATAGTAGCTCTTAGTAATAATGTTTGTATAAATCTGGTCGACATCCGCCGGAATTGCCTATATAGCTAACTTTTTATCTAAGTTAACTATTTAATTCCTCAACTATTTATACTGTTCATATATTTGAACTATCCATCTATCGAACTACAGTGGTATGAAAAAGTTTGGGCCACCCCTGATCATTTTCAAGATGTTCCTTTATGTATCATTGTTGTTCGGAACAGCAATTTCAATTATATGTTCAGTACTAAATGTCCGAATGCAGTTGTTTAAGATCGTGTGTGGTGTTTTTAAATCATATATGATTTGAAAAATTATTTTTTATCAGTATTTTGTTTTATCAATTACTAGACATTTCTGGCAACCCTATTTATATTGCAGGCAACCCTATGATGAATGTTGAAAAACACTGGTTTATGGTATACATACACCTTTACCACATGACTGTTAACTGATTAGCCATAATGCTAATGCTAGGTGATCATTCCGATTTGATTTAGATAGGTAGGAAGTGACATTTGATAAAACACGACGGAGCAAAATAAGGTTGCTTTTTAAAAAGTCTTTCAGATACTCACAGGTGTACATTGAATTGGACCTTGTGGACAGATTGTAATGTTACACTGGTACTTGTTCTTTTTATGTGGTTGTTTAAGAATCAAAATTGTTTGTGTGTTTCAGGGTCACACCCAGACAGTGCGCAGTCTGGCCTTCAGTCCAGATGGGAAGTGGTTAGCTTCTGCTGGAGACGACTGCACCGTCAAGGTACAAACATGCAGATTTTAAGCTGTGGTTGAACAGTATTCACGGCAAAATCGGACATTGAGATATTGCTACAGGCAAATAGATTGCATAACACATCTGTGCCTAATTTGATAAAATTACTCACTGCAAACACAGTGTGAGTATTTACACCTGCATTTCATTCTCGCATCCTATTTTCAGCGGGGGGACCTGACTCAGGGAAAGACAATCACAGAGTTCAAGTCGCACACTGCAGCTGTCAATATTGTGCAGTTCCATCCTAATGAGTATCTTTTGGCATCGGGGAGCTGTGACAGGTATGACGTATCACGTAAACTTTTCACATGAATAACGTTTATTGCCTGAAATATACGGGCAAACGAAGTTCACGCCGCTAGCGATCAATGACTTTTCTGGTAGGCTGCTGTGTGTTATACTAGTAGTGTATGTCTGTCTGTGAACGGCTGTGAATGTGTGTGTATATGTGCATGTGGGGTGCGAAAGGTGAGAGCAATTGGAGCCCTGTCACGTTGAAGCGTCAGTTGGTTATACAAGAGCTGTTAAAACGCTGTTTATGTTCTGTTGTGCTCGGTGTGACTGATAATAAAGACCCCAACTTCCCTGTTTCTGTTTACCTCTGCTGCGGACAAGCACAAAAGTGAGGGGAGTTAGCCTTATAGCTAATGTAAGCTTCGGCCCTGGAGCGGATTAACAAGTCTCCCCTGTGCTTTCCAACTACTGTCAGGGCTCCGAAGCAGTAAAGAGCTAGATATATAGATAGATAGATAGCACTTTATTAATCCCTTTTGAGTTCCCTTTGGAAAATTTAGGCTCCAGCAGCAGTACAGCACCAATATAAAATAAAATAAAAACACACAGATAGGTTAAAAAACAATAAAATAAAGTACAATAAAATACAAACAAGAGTAGCAGCACACTGTCAGTGAATATTGGAAACCTGAAAAGTGGATGTTAGTGGATTAGGTTAGTAGAAGTAGATAGAAAGTGTTAGTAGTATCAGTAGATTAGTAGGTGATTATTGTTGCCGTGTATATTGTGGCTGATCTCAATTATTATTTACTATTATAGTTCAATTATACCATTGTTAACAATTACTACACAATACTAATTTAAACAGAACTAGGATAATTATAAGGGTGCTATGTGAGCAGGTGTATAAATAGTTTAAATATATGCATGTAAGTTATAAATATGCATATATATACATCCACATATATGCACTATACCAGGCATGGCCAACCTGTGGCCAACCATGCGGCTCTTTGCCCGGTTTCATGCGGCTCTTACGTTCATATGAAATTTTATGTTTGTGTTTTTTTTTACTCTCATGCCAATGGGCGTTGACGCAAATTACTTAGGGAAAACCCAATTGACAAAGATGAAGTCATGTATACAGGAAGTTTTAAAAGAGTTTTATTT